ACTCAATTTGGGCAGGTCTTCCTTAAAGAAAAGAGCAGAAATAGAGAGTAAAAAGGTGTTTACTCAGAATTTGTACAGCTTACTTCTATCTACACCGGTCAAGGGGAAAACTGTACTTGCATTGGATCCTGGGTATACTAATGGTTGTAAGATGGCATTGCTTAGTCCTACAGGTAACAATTTTCTGTSAACTGCCTTGTACTGAGAACTCTYGATTCATTCTTCCTTTTTCCCATTTCCTTTTATCCTTTCATTCAATATTCCATCCTTTTACTTTTAAGATGCTTAATTAGCCAAGGCCTTGCTTCTTTCGATTTTGTTTCATCTATAGAGAGATCAAACAAAAACGTGAGAAAAAAGGCCTCGCTTTTTGTCTCAATTGACTGTTTAGATGCTTTCGATCATCTCCAATTTCTTGTCCATACAGGTACTGTACTGGAGACGGGACTCATGTTTCCTACTGGAAGAAAGGCAAATATTAAAAATGCACAGTCAGAAGTGTTATCACTTGTTCGAAGACACAGGTATTGCACTGATATAATGCCATATGACTGTATAGATATTAAATATCACAATTCAATGCGGGAAACGGAAGAGATTCATCCTAATTTAAAAACTAAGATTTCATCTTGAAATTTTTAACAAAATTTGATTAAGCATTGCTATAAACTTTGATATAAGTATAATATGTATAGCTGTACGTACAGTGTGAATATTCCATTCTGTTCTGTGCCCTCATACAGATCTCCTGTTATTGCGCAAAATTRCGCAAGCAACWATCTCTGACATGTTTTCAATCTAATATCTACAAAAAGGAAAGAAAAGCACGCRCTCTGATTGGCTGTCGCGCGTTTCAGTATTTTTACGGTATTCTAAATTGAATTTTAGCAAAAAGGTGCGCAAAGAAAATGACAYGGCGTAGGACATTGATCCTTCTTCTTTCAAAGCCTCGTGCGTTTCCAACTATTTAGACTCTTTATACCGGTAAAAAATATTAAAAAAATATTTCAGTTATTTATTTTGTATTGATCTTCCTCTACTAACTTTGATCGTACTCACTGTTTCAGTTGTGAAACCATCGCGATAGGGAATGGTGTTGCATGCCGGGAAACGGAAATGTTCATAGCCAAGATGATCAAAGAAGAAGCGTTTTCACCTCTAGAAGTTGTGTATTGGTACGTGTTTTCTACCTACGATTATTAATAACAATTGTTAGTAGTAATAAGTCATTCATCAGTTCAACTGAGAATTCGTAACTATCTTCGTTTGCAATATATCTTTTAAAGACACACGTGACTCCTGTAACTATTGCGCGATTTTTTTGGGGGGCATGCACCATATCTTGAGGTGGTTGGACCATGTAGACCAACGGTGAAGTCGCTCGAAGTTAAGCGGCTTAACATCTCGTTGCAGARTTTCCTAAAAATATATTGATCACGTGAAAACAGTTTGAATTCCTGATATCTGCAAAGGCTTCTCTCTTATTTTTTGCGTAGAGATATCTACATGTAAGCCGGCCCGTGAACGCGTTACCGTATAACACCATGAAGTCATTTTCTGACATKARACAATTATTCCCTGKCTATTAAAGTTTCAAACTTCTGCGRCGGAACTGTGTGCTGCCCTTCAAYAAAAGCAAAACTCCTATATTATTAAAAAGTGTTATTATTGTTCTGTATCGTTTTGTAGCATCGTCAGTGAAGATGGCGCATCGGTTTACAGTGCGTCCAAGGAAGCCATTGCTGAGTTACCAGACATTGACCTTAGTATGCGCGGGGCTGGTGAGTAATTAAGGTCTGTTGAAGTCAGTTAACTATTACATCCTTGTACTATTCTTGTATTTGTTATAGTATCAATTGGGAGAAGACTACAAGATCCCCTCCTCGAGCTCGTCAAGATTGAGCCTAAGCATTTAGGAATTGGGATGTACCAGGTAGGTGAATGCATAGCAGTATTCTGGACTGAAAGGTTTCTTTACTGGCTTAAATTTCTTGAATGTTTGTATATTTGCAGCACGATATTCCTGAGAGCATGCTACGTACGGCACTGCAAGGTGTCTTTACTGATTGCGTTAGTTTAGTTGGTGTGGATGTTAATGCTGCTGGTGTAAGCACTCTCAAGTGAGTAATCAATCAATCCGTCTTTACGTCTATCAATAAGTCTATCAATCAATCCATCCATCCATCAGTCACCATCCATCCATCAATCAATCAATCAATCAATCAATCAATCAATCAATCAATCAATCAATCAATCAATCAATCAAACAAACAAACAATAAGACAATCAATTTATGTATAAATCTGTCAATTGAACAATGAATCACTCAAACTAGCCTCGTCTCTAGGTTACTCTTTTCTCCGTGATGACGTCACACACCAATTGTCAACTTAAGCATAGAAATATGTTTTAGAGTGGTTTTTATTAACCCGTGAAACACACTTTAGCGTATTTATCGCTATTGCACTTCGGCTCTTTTGTTTTTTATTGTCTCTACGCGACTATTACGATCTATTACACTCTAATTATTACACTTTGTTTCGCGGGTTTATGAAAACCGCTCTAAATCATCAGATGCTTCTTTTTATGACTAATATTTGTTGTCTCCACCAAAGGCACATTGCAGGTTTAAACGAGAAAAAAGCTGCCAGCATTTTGGAATGGCGAACCAAGAACAAGCGATTTGAAAACCGAAAACAGTTGGCCTATGTGAAGGGAATTGGAAAAAAGTCTTATGAACAGTGTAGCGGTTTTCTAAAAATTCTTCCTGATTGTTCCCGAAACGTGGATTCAGAAGTCGTCAAATCAGAGGAATATTTTCTTATGGCGAATAATGATGATGATGATGATTTCGATGCTAGTAAAAGATCTAAGCGAAAGCGACCTCAAAAGAAGAGTGTCTCAAAGCGGTCAAAACCATCGTGCACTTCGTCTGGCTATAACTATCTAGACGCGACGCTGATTCATCCAGAATCTTATGAATTTGCAGAAAAGTAAGGAAAAAAAAGCTATTTTAGTCTAATGATCATTACTCGGTGTCTTTCATGATATATGACATTTCCGTTGCTAATGAATTGTCGTTGGATGCCGTAGTTCCATCTTCGTTCTCATAGTCGTTATAGAGTTTATAATCAATGTCAGCCACTGTCGCTTGACCCAGTCTTTCCCTGGCTACGACACTCAGAAAACTGGGTTTCCCAGGATACCTTTCACAACMACAAGACATTTCTTGTTGCAATACTTTGCAATTTCCTCTCGCGTATTGTTTTTTATCMGCAATTACTAACCACCTTGCAGAACGTGAACCGAAACTGATGCTGCACGCATAGTAATTATTATTAGTTGCTTATAATTGAAGAAGCTCTCAACCATGTGGGAGATCTTAGGAAATCATATAATCTGAGCATGCGTAATGAATAACTCTCTTAATTTACTTATTATACACATGCTGTTGTTCATACTAGTATATATATTTTTCAGACTTATGAAAAACCTGTCAGTAAGTGCACGAGATATTGGTACAACAAAGATGATAGCAGCCATCGAAGGACTAATGGTCAAGGAAAGTGAGTATCCCCCTATTGGCTCCGATTAAGCAATCTCTTACCCAGTCAATCCTCCTGTTTTTCTTGCTATGCTCAGAGTGGCTTCCCTTGATTAATCTCGCGCCACTAGACGTCAGAGAAGCGACTAGGTACGAGTCTACCGATTGGCTATTTCGCAAGAATCATTCTCAAAAATTATTGCAATTTGTTTTTAGCAATAATTTTAGCTCTAAGGTTAGGTTTAGGGTTAATTGTAGGTTTAGTTTTAGGATTAGGATTCGGTGTTTATTGGTGTTTTAGTTGCTTGTTTTGACGGAATGTCATGCTGAAATTGACGAAGTAGCCTCTACCAAACCGAATGATTTTTTCTTTAAATCCCATGCAGGTGTCTATAATCTAGCCAGTGAGTATGGTGTGGATGTCTCTACTGTTGAACTGGTGATTGATGGACTTAAAAAGCCGATAGACTATGACATTCGCTCAAGTAAGATTCACCAGTAAATTAAGGAATATTATGCTTTCATGTAATGTGAGTTGGGCATGCGCTTTATGAACGACCGAAAGAAAGCGCCAGTGGTCTTTTGACTTTGGTGCATTCACCTGTGGATTGGTAGGCTGTGATGTTTGACCATAATTAAAACAAACTATGTTTTGACGCATTATTTTCCAGTACAATTGCTTGTGGCCGGCTTAGTATGTATTTTGGTTGTTTGGGAAGCAACCAAACGAGTTGAGTAATAATAGATGGAATAGTTAGAAGGCAAAATTTTATTAAAATTTCTGGTGCCAAAAGCTGTTCTCTATAATCGACGTGTCTTTCCAGGTTTTGAGAAGCCAGTTTTCAAGAAAGGCCTGATGCTATTTGAAGACTTACAGCCAGGGATGCCATTATCAGGACGCGTGACAAATGTCACGACATTTGGCGCGTTTGTGGATTGTGGAGTGGGGCGTGACGGTTTGATTTATGAATCACAACTCAAAAATCGTGACGATCCTTTATCTGCTGGCGATGTTGTAGAAGTGACAGTGAACAGTGTTGATAATAACAAAGGACAATTTCAACTTAGACTCGTTTCCGTAAGACCAAGATTGAAGGCTCAATTGCTAACGACTAGTTGATTGGATGCGTCAATCTAATACGGCGTCATTTGCACTTTTTCAACTGAGGTTTGTTTCCGTAAGACCAAGATTGAAGCCTCCAACTTGCTTACGAACAGTGGATTAGATGCGTCAATTTAATCCGTAATCGATTGCGTATCGTCGTTGCGTTATACGTAAAGGGCAATTTCAACTCAGGCTTGATTCCGTACGGTCTAGATTGAAGCCAACAAGATAGATAGTGCATATTGTTTTTCTCTCGTTCCGTAATGAGTTGCGTATCATCGTTGCGTAAACGCATCCAAACGTTTGCATCGTTCTATTTTATTGTACTCTTTACCAGATAATTGTTGGTTGTGCATTTTTAAATGAACTCACTCTATTCATAGATTATGGTTAAAATTATATGCTTACGTAAAAATTTACTCTAAACATATACAGTGCCACCTTAAGAAAATATTGCAAAAGGCACATTAAACAAATATTAAAATTATTGTAAAAGTAAGATTATCTATTTTTAAATAATAAAAGAATAATATTTCAATGATTAAATTTCAAGATTAAAGAACAAATGGCTCTATATTTTCCCTACCAAGGGCTACAGGCAAGGCAATGTTGACAATGATGGCAACTCTAGATCTCTTGCGAATAAGGCATGAACAACAGCTGATAAAAAAAAACATGAACAAAACTGATTCAAAGAAAAAGACAAAAAGTAGAAAAAGCTATAGTCTAGCGAGCTACAATATAGCTACGAAGCTCAACTTTAAAAGATCTATAATAAATTTTCACTTACCTTATAGCTCAGAATTATCAAAACCTCGGTCAACATTTACATAAACGTTTTGCGCTTAAAAAAAGGTGCGTGGACGGCAAAGACTTTCAGCCTGAAGTAATTAATGCTATTGTGATGTCATAAATTTGCGCGCGCTCAAATTCGTTACCAGGTCCCAGCAATAGAAATTACACAGCTAACCCGATGAAAGTGWAAGAAWTGCAACAAAYTAAATGATTTTTTTTAATAGCTTGTTAAGGATCTTCTCTTTATGATTGGCTGTTCACGCGAAGGAAAATTTTCATCCGAAGCACAATCGAATTTTATAATAATTTCGTTATAATCAAGCTTTATTTGTATTTCATTTTATTGTTTATAAGACTTGTGCAATAAGTACTAATGTTTATTCACTCAGAACATAATTAAATATTTATAAACATGCATGAGATTAACTGCATTCTGCGTATCTCTTAAATTAATCACTCCTTTGTTAAACCAAAATAGTTTTTATTGTTGCTATAGCAACAGGTGGTGGCAACCAGTCATCAGATTCAAACTAAGGACCGGTTCACTTGATGACGGAAACTTGTATATTTACAACTTTTTTGTTGCGGATACGTGCGTCCACACGTAACGTATACGGAGCGTTTTTCGCCGTTTAAAGAAATTTCCTGATACGGTCTGACAAGTGTAGAAGCATCACATAATCGCAGCAAAAGATAATTACGGGCACAAACATTTCCGTCGTCTATGTTTCCGAGACCAAAACCGACTGTTTAATTGATTAAAGGATGCCTTTTGCTTTCTCATAATTTTTGTCTATTTACTATCCTCTATTTCTTCCATATCATGATCGTTGACGGGTTTTTCCACGAGTATTGGTGCAACAAGACTCCATATATACACTAAAGTGCACATAGAACTTGCAGTCATCTTAATACACATAGCCGTCCAGTTAATGTAGAGTTTAAACTCTGTTCCATCCTTCGGTGTGTACCAGTTGGTCAATACCATCGTGATGTGAAGACTTGCCAAAAAGTACACAAAATGATAGAACGAATAGCTATACGGAACAGGCTCCAGGTCTTCGGCTTCCAACGAGTCGTTCAGTTGGTTYTCCGATTGGCTTTCATCTAGYACTGAAGATTTTGTGCGCCCACAGATTAGCTTTAAAGTGGTCAGCGCCATTCCGTGGAGGCCTTGAGATATCGCAATGACTCTGATGCTAAAATAGATTAATAAGATTATTGTCAAGCAAAGGTCTACCATTGCTTGAATGTTGATGCTAGGTCGCATGTCTACTTCAGAGACATATGAAGCGAGAGGGTTGCACTTCTCGTTTGGGTTGTAAGACAGACCAGAAAGAGTTAAGTACATGGTGAAAAACGACACGGCTCCTCCTTGAAGAAGTCCTGTATTGGTAACGGCTGGATGGACAGACACGGCAGAAGCAACTCCACAAAGTACRAGGTTCATGGTAACGAATGCTTTGTTAACTTTACAGTTACCGCTGCCACCAACAAAAAACATATAATAGCAAATGACAGCTCCAGCGGAAATGACGTAAAGAGTTGCTGTTATGGCAACCAGGACACGAAACCAAATGATTCGTCCACTCACTGCTGCCCTGTGCGCTAGACATGAGTTGCAGTATCGYGAAAAGTCTACCACGAGTATAATTTCGATGATAGTGAAGAAGAAAGTCCCAATAGGGCAAGTGTATGTCCATACTTTACTAAACCCAAGAGGAATGAAAAAAGTGCAAATCAAAAGGCCGAAAAATAGTCCAAATTTAACGATCCACAGTCCATTGTGTATAAGCGCTCTTGGATCGGAAAAATTCTTAACGGCGTAAAGAATTATCGCAAACAGCAGGTAGAAGGTTGCCATGGAGAAGCAGATCCTGTAGACCGCAAGGTATCCTGGGTCATGGCTCATACAGTTACCAAGACGACTGATTTTACGACAGAAAAATGAGTTAGTTTGAAGCGCATGGCGGATGCTTGGAAGATACATCAAGCTGGAAGCCACAGCTCCACAAACAAAGAAAAATGTGTAAATAAATCGTGGATATCTGCTCTGATTAAGACCTGGACATCCCGTGATAAAGATCGTCTTGAGCGACATTACGATGAATTTTAAGAACGATTTGAGAAGGAGCACAAAGTCTTGCGTTTCTTCTTCGGGGTAYACTGTCGGTGCGATCAACATCCATATGAAAATTAACGCKACCAATGCACTTGTTAAACTCTTGGTCGTTAAGAACGCCCATGACAGCGTTCCCTTGGTAACGGTATCCAAGTGATGGGGWGCGATGAACGTTGCACTCGAGTACAACACCGCAAGTAACAAGATGAAGTGGGTGAATGAACAACTGTAGAGTTGTTTGTTGTCTTTGTCGTCTGTTTGGTTTGCGAGGATTGTGCCACCATAYCTGAAATGCTTTGTATAATGGCTTCTCAGTAAYACATAACCCAGCAGCATAAACATGACTAACACTCCTGTCATTGAATGGATATAAGATCCTAGTTTTAACTCGCTGTCGAAGAAAGAGAACAAATTGGGAGTACAAAAGCTTCTTTCGTGGGAGAGCGCTGTATTCGTGAGAAACAGAACGTATCCAGTTACTAAGTTGGCCTGCAAAATGGTTTTYTGAACTTGTAATGTTCCATTCTTTTTTGAAGTTGTGATGGATAMAATGAAGGCAACAAGGCAAATTGTTAGATTCACTGACACCAGAACATTATTAGTCTTACAYTTGTCCTTGAATCCATAGAATATATAAAGTACCACTATTACACAAACGTTGGTGACACACAGAAAGGCGTTACATAATTTAATCAGGAAGTAATTCTGGAGTTTTTCGCAAGGCTGTAGAGCTGCTAATGCACTGCCRAACGCACGAGCAAAGTCGACTACGAAAGCAAGCTGAATCACCGCAAATAGAAACCAGGCAATGACTACCTGGTACCCCCAAATAGTATCTATAATGCTATGTGGAATCATGTATATACCATACCCAGCTAGACCTAATATGGCGATCTTTGGTATCCATACCCCACTGTGTAGTCCACTGCGCAAGGAATTGAAATTCACGTCCAGGAGAAGAAGCATGAACAAGAAGAAAAAATCAGCAGTGGCAATGCTTATCCTGTAGATGGCRAGTCTTGTGATCTTGATATAACATGTGTCTGTGGTATTTCCTTTTTTACACGTGAAAGCGAGTTCTCTCGAATTGCGCGTGATCCCAGGTACGGAGATGAGACTTGTAGCAGCGATAACAAGCAAGATCAAGAGTAAATACACGATGTGTGTGCCTGTAAGATTACCATTACTTGGCTTCCATGGCAATATAAGGCTATATAAAGGTGACTTTGAACTTGTCGATCCATCTGTGGCTGGTTCGTCCGCTGTGCTACATTGACCGGCGTCTTCTTCTAATTTCTGCTCTTCCGCGGACATWTTTTGCAATTAAAACGTGAAAGGCGTCATTTAAGCAATATTTATTRTAAAAAAGTCTCCAAGTAAACCAGAAATACAGTTTCTTTAAAGGTCTCCTTGATGCGATCCTCAATTGGTTGTCATACAAGTTTCATGAATGCCCTTAATTGTTTTTTCCTCTACTAGAATAACATGTACAATCCCAAGACACAATAATATTGTCTATAGGCTTTGTAATTCCAGTTAGTTAAAGCAATTACTCAGACTGTTAAAGAACAACCTTATACTCCTAGAATTCTTTTCGTCAACACCAAAGTTCCATTGTCAATCCATAAATGTCTTTCTCGAATGTCCGCTCGAATGAAAGTTTTAATCTTCGGCAAGTCTTATAGCAAATTAAGCTACGTGAAGACTTTTTCCAGGATCTCGTTTCGGCTGATCTTTTTTGCTAGATTATCATTTTGATAATTTCTTTTGGTTTAATCGCTGGCCATATTTTTGTTCGAAACTCCTCCATTGAATTCAGTGAGATCAGAGTTCTTCAATAGCAGCCATTGAATTAGTCTTTCGCATCGTCAGTGTTTATATTTATATGCTTGAGTTTGTTTTGATTATAATCACCGCTAATTTTACCGATGATTTTGATATCTATGCCAGAATACACGGCCCTCCTTTTTATGGATTAAAAATCTTATTGTTGTAATCTCATACTGTCGATTTTTTACCCTTTAGCTGAACAAAAGCTCATAAAAAAACACTGATTACTTTTATTTAGTCGACTTCGTTTCAAGTAGACAACTTGTTCGTCACCTGTCACAGGTAAAGCYGCCTATCGGATGCCAACATTTCAGCTTACAATCGAACAAATCGCTCTCCCCTCTCTCATTCCCAATTTTTGTCAATTAAACTTTCCCTTCATAAATCGTTTCAATCCCATTTAATTTCGTTTGGATTTATTTCAATTTAATGAATGTTTTATTCGTCGATGTGTACATGTATTTTCATCCCACCTGTTTGGAGGGGTAGAGAAGTAGGCGTAGCCGACACGTGGTTACAGTTAATGTCGCTGGTTATCGGACGTCTGCTACATGCATAGTTACTCTTTCCAAGATACGACTGTTAACAATTATTGAACTGTTTTAACTGTGATCAAAACAGTATAATACACGCGAAGGACTAAATGCTTCCTTGTCATCGCACTAAGTAAATACATTTTAAAATCACATTGAAAATCACAAGATGGTAGTAGCTGTTAAGGGTCAAGAAATTCTAAAATTCAGTCCGAGAAAATTTGTCGAGCGAGATAAAAACGGAATTAAAGATATTCGGCGGCTTAGTGTATGGGTAGTTATTTTTATGTTACTCTTTGTTTCACGGTTTGTAGTTGTAAACCCGTGAATCACTAATACGAATTATGCTGTGTAATGGCCAAAAGATCACCAAAAGACAAGAATCATGGAATTGAAAAAGTTTACTCTTGTCAATTACTGTAGTGATTATTTCATGGGCGTCGTTTAAAAAGATTCTACTGAATGCTGTCTATCACAAGACATATAGTGCGGTTGAAGGGAAAGAAGCGGCAGAATCTTTAKATATCCTCCCTCCTCCCTCCGAAACCACATGGCGGCCGGCTTTTATTGCACGGTACCCGAAATGATCTTCCGTCGAAGTAGATTCCGATTTTCAATTCCGTTCGGCGGAAATATATATGTGAGATTAAATGAAACATTAAAGCACTGAAATTTTTCTGAATAATTTTTACTTAGACGGCAGCTGTTTTTCATAGTCGTAATTTTGCATGGATTCTGATGTTAATTTTCATATCGGTTCTCTCAGTTTCTTGTTATGGTGTCACGTGATCAGAGGACTCTCCCATTCCGGCTTGTTTTCGGTCACTTCCGGCTACAAAGATTCCCGAAATAGTCATTTCCTTTACTTTCTTTTTACAAAATCCCTTTTAGGAACTGGCGATTCGTTTGTAAATCATTGAAAATCACCGAACCATAGACGGCACCCTGGACTTACATCCGCTTAAAAATTCGCCCCCAGTCTACCCCTATTGAGTGGAGCACAGCTGGACGAAGGTATTAACTATGACTTTAATGTATATAACGTTCAAATCGTTGTCTTTTTTTATTATAAGAAAGATCGTCCAAGCCTCCTTAAGTAACATAAGGCAACATAAACGTTTGAATAGTCAGCCACTGTTTCAATAAAATATCTAACCAGCTTTTTCTTATTTCGAGAGTGTTATCGTTTTCCATAAGCTTGATTTGAACGAATTTGGCATGTAAGGCTGCCAGAATTGTGTCACTTTATTTTTTGGTCATGTGCCGATCAGTCCTAAACAGCAAAAAGAACTCTTTTTCCCAGACAGATCGTCAGCCTTATCGCCTTCAGTGCTTACAGAAAACACTCCTAGCTTTTTTGCGGAAATATCTTTTATTTTCAGAAGATAAAAGGACTCTCTGTCTATTCGGAAGTATTTTGTTGTGATGGGCTGTTGATTTAAGCTTTAGGCAGTTTTTCGTGCAAGAAAGCATACACATTGCAATATGCGCATATTTTTTTGGCGCGACAAGCCCAATGTTGTCCAATCAAACTCGTCCACGCTCCTTGGCGCGCGGTGACTCACTGTACGCATGCGCAATCGCATGTTTATTTCCAAGCCGGTGAGGGTATAAACATGATGAGCGATCAAGCTGTTGTTTTTAAAGTTCATTGACGCAAATTRACTAAGAGCTAAAGGCTTCTGAGTYACCATGAGATTCTCATACACACCAGAGTTGATATATCTAGCCTGTTTATTATGGAGTAGAGTTTTAGCGCTGGGTGATCAGTGTTTTTGCCAGGTAAGTCTGAACTCACGTTGGAGGAATTTCCACATTTGCTTGTAAGACTTACATAATTCCAACATAATGTTTTGATAAATTCTGCAATGTCATATAAGTCAATGCTTTATATAAAGATCTATTTTAAAATATTTCCTGTGAAAATTCTCTGAAGTTAAGAATTTTCGCGCGCTTGTCGAGAAGAAACGTACGCAGCTGGTGCAGTAGTCTATAAAGTCAGTTCGAAGTCAGGGTTAACTTCTCATTTTAATTTTAGCTAATTTTTATCGTAATTTATTTTTGCTTCTTGATTATTGCTAATAGTCTCTATTTTTTTTGGTTTTATTACAGGTAATGTTTGTCTTTTTTGTTACATGCAGTCATCATTAACTGAGAAGCTTAACGATCTTACCATCGATTAGAAAGAAAAAATATACTTAACTTACCAGAAATAAAGTGAACGAAATTCATGTAAAAAAATAATCATACAATGTTATTAATTGAACAAAGTATGTACATTTTATCATATGCATGGTATAATTCAGCAATATTAATTTATAAGTTATCACAACATAAATAAAGTTAATAAGTATTGTTAGAAAATACAGTCAATTTTCTTCATTTCTTCCTTCCTTTGATTTTGACTTTTATGGATGTGAGCAAGAACCTTTAGTTTTAAGATTTTTTTTTTTACTGAAATAGGTATGTAAAGAAAATAATTTATATTTTGAATACATTTTTGGAAAATGCATATTTAAATGTTGTTTGTTTTGGGCAGAAGTTCAAATATTAAGACTTTTAGATATCAATTTTTTATGCTAGTTTATATGAAATTGGCATGAATTTGGATCCTGAATATAGATTGTATAAAGCTAAAAAATTAATTCTACATTTGACAATTAAAGGATAAAAATGTTATATTTTTTCCAGCATTTATTTCGTGTTTTTGTGCTATGTTTAAATCTGACCACCTGCGCATCAAACTATCAAGAAATACATGGTGAAAAATGAATTTAAATAACTTCTGTAGGCTGGTAGAATTCTATTTTATTGCTCATATTTCCCCATTTAACACCATTTTTGAATTAATTGTATTGATTTTTGTGGTTCTCTGAATTGAGGCAACCAAACAGAAACTGCCAAGTAGCTTAAAACTGACAGCTGCTTCTAAATTTAGAATTTGTTTGCTGATAAGTACTAAACTTTTGCTTATATTTTGGTGTTTTCTTTCCATTATCTCTCAGGAAGGAGATACTATATTTTTCTCGTATAAAAAGGTCATTCATTATCAGAATTTCATATTTATCAGGACAAGCTTTAACACCTTTATTAGAATTAAAATAGGTAGATCATTCAGCTAACCATTGTGTACTATAATATAATATAAATTTAGTTTTCTTGTTATTACCATTTTTCTTTTCTATTTCTTTTTCCCATCTTTTTTTTCATTCTTGTTAAAGTACATTTTTAGTTTGCTAATAGTTATCACTGAGGAAATAGTCTGAGCTGAGTCTTAATCCCAATAATAATACTTGTAAATGATACCAGATTATTTTGACATAGCTAAACAACAACCTTTAATTTAGATGAATTTCAATTTGGATTCTCCAGGCCACCATTTTTTATAGGTTCTATATTATTAAACAGCTGGCACAGGTTCAGACTGCTAGTTTTTATAATATGGAAATGAGCTGAAAAATTAAAATGGAGGACATATTTTAATTTATAAAGTTCTAAATAAACAACTTATTGGATTACTGGTAATAATAATATATTCCAGTCTGTATTTTGAATTCATATTTTTTTTACAGCTTACTGGAAAAATCGAGGAATGTTGTTGTGACGTTGAAACTGTGGACAAAATAAATAAAGATATTTATCCATTAATCAGTCAAATTGTCAAAAGAAATTACTTCAAGTTCTTCAGGGTAAGTTGCACTTTAGACATCTCAGATCTTGTTATTCTCAATTCAGTTTAATGAAGCAGATTGTTTTTAAGGATGTGCAGGGCACATTTGTATTCTAGCCATTCTTTATTCTAAATTCAATGTTTATAGTTTCTATGGCAACAATGTCAGGAGAGATTTTTTATAACTGTGTTTTCCATTCTGTGATATATACAAAAGCGTGAAATATTTCTTAACAATCAACAACTAATAATAATTTATATCAACTAACTAAGAATTCACTGGAGCATAAACACAATGCCAGAAAAGGGAATTTTCTTTGTTTATGCCTTACTGAATTCTTAATCAGTTTGATAACTAAATCTTTTCAGGCGCTAATTATTTAAGAATTGTTTCACACTTATGTGGTGCGCACTCTATAGTCATGCAAAATGTACTTTACAAAAAACATGATCCATGAATGAATTGGTTTCAGGTTAAGCTGGACAGACCTTGCCCCTTTTGGTCAAATAGTGGACAATGTGCTATGAAACACTGCAGTGTGCAACCTTGTAAAGAGGTACGTCAAGCAGCAATTGAAATGATAGTAAGCAGTTCAATGTGTAATTGCTCATTCTCTCTCYACCTCCTTTAAAGTCTTAATTTATRTCCAACTGTGATTGTAACTGCTTTCTATCTGAAGATGAATGAGTGATGAAGTCAAACATTATAAATAATAATAACTTCTTACTGATTGGAACAAACATCATGTCGTCTTAGTTTAGGTTGAGTTTGCTGTTTGTTTTTCTTTCTGCTGTAAAGTATTAGACTGAGAATAATGTAGTCTTTATCTACACCTAAGCATTGTTTTTTCACTTCATTCCATGCTATATCTATGGTACATTTACATTTTAATGTATAATATATAAATAAATAATATTTGATTGCTTATTTTGAATAGGATGACATACCAGAAGGAGTAAAAGCTGAAGGGAAAAGGAATAAAAATGTAAATAGATATAGTAAATCAAAAAATCCACCAAGTAAAGAGAAGCAAAAGGGAGAAACTGGTGACATGTGTACTGATGCTGACAATACAACCCTTGGTGATATTGATAGTACTATTAGTGACCAAGATAAGCTAGCCTTTGAGTCATGGCATCAACATGACAATGTAGAAGTTAACTTCTGCCAGCTTGATGGTGAGAAATTGAACATAGTACAATATGTCATTTTAATCTAAATACTGTCAAATATGAACATTTAGTGAATTCTGTAAAATCTTTTACTGGTCACAATTGAAACTGTCCAACAAGTATTGCTTGTAATAAGTAAAATATTGTGTGGTTCAGTTTTGAAAAAGTTTTTTTACCTATTTTATCAGATGAGTCAACGGACGGCATGGAATATGTAGACTTGTTAAGAAATCCAGAGAGATATACTGGGTACAAAGGTCCATCGGCACACAGGATATGGAATAGTATATACCAGGAGAATTGCTTTAAGTAAGTATTGCCATTAAAAAGAATGTTAAAGTAAAGATACAACTTATTGCAGTTACCATTATTACACGATTCAGGATGTTTTTAATATGCTGTGGGTTTAAATTTGTCACAGGCCTAAGAATTCACGCAATGGGAAAGGATACAAAAAATTGYTAACAAAAAGTCTTGACAGTAAGTATTAGTTGAAATAAAATAGAACTTAGTGACTGTACATGTAATTGGCATGGTATTTTTTTGTCAAATACCTTTGATATAAATATTATGTTTTGTTCATCTTCAGGCATGTGTCTTGAGAAGAGAGTATTTTATAGAGTTATATCAGGTTTACATGCAAGCATAAATATCCATCTATCAGCCATCTACCTATTCCCAGGTACAGTAAAATATGTAAYCATTCAGAGATATTGAACAGTATTGTCTTATTTGACTCTTAGTTTGCTTTTTATGGATAATATGTGTGCTCAGTGTTATGTTATGAATTTTTAATAGGGAAGTTTGGATTACAGAAACCGCAATGGGGAACAAACTTAGAAGAATTTACACAAAAATTCAGTGCTGATAGCACTGATGGCCAAGGTATACTACCATAGATAATATTAACTACTATTGATAGCGATTAGAAACATTGAGTGCCGTAGTCAGTGCTAACAATAATTGAAATAAACAGGATGGCACTTCTTAATATAAAACAATCATGGAATTATAATTGTATATATATTTGTTCTGCATTGCATTCAATTGCATTCAATAATTGAAATAAACAGGATGGCACTCCTTAATATAAAACAATCGTGGAATTATAATTTTTTATTTTTTTTCTGCATTGCATTCAATTCTAACCCCTTGTAACATGTACTAATTGGTATTTGATTTACTATTTTATTCTTCAGGTCCTGTTTGGCTGAAGAATCTGTACTTTACCTACACGCTGGTTCTGAGGGCAATCACAAAGGCAGCTCAATATTGGAGCTTTGAACAGTTCTACACTGGTGAATACAGTGAAGAYGAAGAGACACATAAGTTGATTCAGGATCTTCTTGCCAAGTCAAGGTATTAGAGAACAACCTCATATATGATCTCTTGGAGTGCCGTTAATGCTCAGAGTGTCATGGCATGACTTTATAGTTATTAATCATTGTGGAATTGTTTAAACCAAGTTGATTAAGTCTGTTAATTCCAGAACTTGCCCAAGCACTTTTGATGAGACAGTTATGTTTAAGGATCCAGCTACTGCAACTATCTTGAAGGTATATTTCTTTTTTTTGTCAAACTGGGAAGAAAATGAAAAGTTTTACCAAAATAATGGTTGTTTTTTAGGAGGAGTTCCGACAACATTTCTTGAATGTGTCTCGTATTATGGACTGTGTTGGATGTGAAAAGTGTCGMCTTTGGGGTAAATTACAGGTGAAAACAATATCATACTGTGTATATAATATTGTTTGTTTATTTTTTATTCAATACCTATACATCACTCCTTCATCCATACATCAATTCCATCCTAATTTCTTCGTCTCTATATTTAAATTCGTCCATCCATCCAGACATCTTGTATTTATTCATTGCTTTATCAGTTTGTCATCCTGTCCTTCCATCCACCYGTTACTCCCATTCAGCCATTCATTTTCTATTTGATTATTTACTCTTTTATCAATAAGTAGATCTGTTTGCTTGTTACTGTGGTCATTCGTTGTTTGCTACTTTTATTCAGCTCATTATAGTACATGTAAATGTCACTGTTGTCATTTATTTAATTTTCCTTTTYCTCATTGATTTTCTCATTCATCCATTTATTCATTTCATCATTCATTCAATCATCCATCTCCCTATTTATTCATTTATCTTAGCATATTTTCATTTATTTATTAAACAGTTTAACATCTAGTAATCAGTTTGTTGTTGCTTAGATTAAACCAGCAACTAAAATGTTAATGCAATCTCCCATGACAGGTCCAGGGGCTTGGTACAGCATTAAAGATCTTGTTTTCTGGCAATCAGTTTGATAACAATGACTTCTACATCACAGACAGTTTCCATCTTAAGAGAACTGAAATTGTGTCCTTATTCAATGGCTTTGCAAGGTAAATATTACTTTATTATTAATAATGCTAGTGCCAATATCTACCACAATCTTTTATGATTTGCTGTTWATAATTACAACCAAAAAGAAAAATGTTTTGAAAATAATGATTTGAGAATATTTATCATGTTTTGATAACCTGTTTATTATGTTGTCCCATTTCTTGTTTTCTTTCATTTGTTTATCCATTCTTCCATCTTTCCATCCATTCATTTCTGTTATTAATTTATGCAGTGTTTCTCTCATTCTGTCAAAATATATTTTTTCCAATAAATTATTATCTTTGTTCTCTTCAACATTCACCTGACAAAACCATTCATTTATTTGTTTATTCATCCACTTTTCTTTTTTTTTCAGACTGTCAAATAGCATAAATTATCTTAAACAGTTCAAAAATATGGACCATGAGAAGTAAGTAATAAATGATTGACTAGCTGTTATTAGTAAATATTAATCATTACAATGTACAATATTATTGATAATTTGTATTGATTGGTATGCATACACTCATGTGATCACATTCTTTCAACAGACACAAGTCACACCAAACAACATCTTCTGCAAAAGGAGAGTTATAGACTGAAGGTGTTTTAACAGTTTAGCAGTTTAAAAACTGCTACTGTAGCTCAAAAACAAATCATCAGAGAACAAAAGATTGATAAACTAAAATATCCTACATGTAATTCAAATGGTCACATAACAGCAAAGTAGTGCACTTCAGGGGTCATGATCAACTGGCATTCAGTGTAATTGTGTTTAAGATTTTTCATGTCATGCATAAATGAGTTAATCCAGTCGCAATATTGCAATTTCCATCGGTTGGTTTTGAGCTCAAATGTGACAAGTTTTCCATTCATAGCTCGCATAAAGGGATAAATCAGACAGTATTAAAATACATCTGATGAGTGCGTAGCACGAAACTTGGAGTAACAGAAAATCTTGCCTCTTTGATAATATTATATAATATATATAATTAGCTCTACATTATATTTGTGTTTTGAGCACTCTTTGATGGGATCAGCAACTTCCTCATATGATAACGTTATAATTATGATATT